GTATAAAAGATTTTAATTAAATTTCAATAAAGACAGAGACATGGTCTCACCATTAATATTCAAAAAAAAAAAAAATACCATTGTAATCATAAATTTATCTATTACTATATTGTCATGAAATAATGCTCCAGAGAAACAAAAAATTTTAAAACGAGTTAATAATTAATTTTGCCAAAGATTTTTTTAAGCTTTAATATTTATTTAATAGTAAAGTTTAAAAAAAATCTTTAGCAAAATTAATTATTAACTCATTTTAAATTTTTTTGTCTCAAAATAACACCCAGAGTGACGATATGGTACTAAGTTGTAAACTTACTAATAAATCTACCTATTTATTGAGATCACAAACCATCTTAAACCAATTTGCTATTAAAAATTATGAATCAATTTGCTATTAAAAAATCATCTATCTAGTGTTGAGATCACAAATTTATCATTGAAATTATGAGCTTGCCTATCTACAATTAAAATTATTACTTACCCACCACTAAGTCGTGAACAATGATTAAACTTGATAGTTATATATATTGATTTTGGTTATTAGTTATGCTATGAAGCGAAAGTTACAAATAAAGAGATTGAGGTTTTTAGATATTTTGCATTGTATGTAAGTATTGTAACGCATATCTAATATATAATAAAATATGCATCAAGAAAAGCATTAATGCACTTTTATATTGTATGACCGTATTCTCTATAATTACATTCAAATATCACATAATATTAAATATATTGTTTCTATATTCGGGTGTGCAAAGTACATACATGATGCATATATGTACGTACATTTGTAGTAGGTACAATTGATATACGCATGTGAGATCAACATTATATTCAAATTAGCCACTTTTATTATTTATAATTTACAAGTCAAATACCCTCTACCTTTAAGATTTTAAAAGTATCAGGATTTTGAATGTTGGGATTTTTAATGTCAGGATTTTAATGCTGTCGGGATTTTAATTTGTTAGAATTTTGTGTTTTGAGATTTTGTTGTCAGGATTTTAAACATTGGAATTTTGAGTATTAGGATTCTGTAGTATAACTATAGTAAGTTTTACGCAACTAAAGATATAATGATTTAGTATAATGATTTAATATTAAAATTTTTTTTATTAATAAAAATTATACTTATACATTGATGTCATTTGGAATATTTTATAAAAATTAACAGAAAGTATTTTAATAAATTCACAAGTAACACCCATCTCTGCGGATTTTTAAAATATTAAAATACTTTCTCATCCTTTCAACTCTGATTCCTCTTTCATAACAATTGTAATAGCATAAATAAAAAATTCTATTACTGTATTTGCCATTTTATGTTTGTTTTTATTAACTCCCGGTAATAACAACCAACGTTAAGTATTTTTTCAACAAGTTCAATTTTAGCTAAAATTCCATTCCAGTAACAATGCTCTGGATAATATATTTCAGTAACAAGATTCATTTCACAAGCTTTTAATAATTAATGAATGCTTTACACTCGTTCATTTCAACTTCAACTCTGCATGGATAGCAGTCACCAAAGGTCCCTGTTCCTTCAGTATGCACTGTATTAGTGAGTCTTTGATTACTAAATGCCTTATGTTTGTTCATTTTATTGCCAGTTGCATTCCAATAACCACATCCAACAACAAGTGCTCTATATTAAGTAGACAACAGCTAGAAAAAAAAAAATTCTAGAAAACTAAATTTCATTTGTTCTAGAATATATAACATTTTTTTTCGTGCTACCGTCGAATTTATCGATCGACAATTGTGTAATCTATCCTTATATGGCGGTAACATGATCGCTTTACCATACCACGTTAAAATCATATTATGTTTTTTTAAATCGTATCTCCTCGATGAATAATTTCAAATTTGCAAAAAAAAAAATGTAGATTTGTAGAACATATCTAAAACTATAATATTACGAATTTTTTTTTGCAAATTTTTAAATATTCATTGAGAAGTCTTAACTTTGGATGTCTTTGGATGATTTGCACCGTAGCCCCAATCGCACGCATTAGAAACGATGGCTAGGTAATTTTTTGATTTTGGCACGTGATTGTCTTATTATCTATAAATACGTAAATCAGAGTTCGAGACCAGAAATACTTTACAATTCATTACACAATGTACAATTACGTGGTAACAGCTCATAAGCCAAGCTCCGTAATCTCTGCGACAAGAGGCAGCATATCATCTCCCGATGAGACAAACCTGGTCCTTAAGTAAGTTATATCAGTATAAATATCAAATTCATTTCATTCGCAGGTCTCTTACTCGGTTCGTGTTTTTATCGCTCCCGAAGCAAATTTTCACGTATAGAAATCTATACTCTCGTGCCTGGGGGATTAAAATCCTTCAAGGATGTTCCTGTTTATGGTAGAATTGCAGCGATGCAAGTCTATAGACCACGGGTGTGTGCTATCCCCTATTGCAGTTTCAACAAAGTCGGCGCGACATAGAGTTTAATCTACATTTTTACTTATGCAATAATGAATATATTTATAGGGTCGTGATACAGATCTTCTTTTCGTAGCTACAGAACAGCAACAGTATTTTGTCATTTCATATGATGAGAAGCAGCATCAATTAATTACTGAAACAAAAGGAAATATGGAACTTCGAGTTGGGCAAGTCTCACATACAGGAATGATGAGTGCATTAGATCCGCATTGTCGGTTAATTGGGTTGATCGCGTATCAAGGTATATTTACTGTAATACCGATAGTAACGATTGATAATGGAAAGAATAGAGCCGTTCCTAATACCTTCCCAATCCGAAGAGAGTTACGGAATGCACCAGCTGGAAATTTAAGTAAATCTTTTAACATAAGGTTTCCCAACTTCTTTTTATTTTTTTTCTTTTTACTATGATGTCTAAATAAACCACCATACGACAAGATTTCAATGAATTTATATTGTAAAGTTTACAGGAGCTGAAGATACTCTCGATGGTCTTTTTATATAACTCAGAGATACCCACACTTGCAATTCTGTACACTGATGTACATAATCACGTGTCTATAAAGATATACTTTGTAAAGATTAAAGAAAAAGAATTTGCTCCCGGTCCTTTATTCAAGGAAGACCTTGACGAAACCACAGAGTTCTTAATTGCGGTTCCAAAAGGTTAGTGAATGTATAAGTTATTGCGTGCAATAAAATTTTAATTGTCTGATTTAATACATATCAGCGGATTTGCGGAATTGGGTTTACATGGGTATGCAAAAATAATTTCAGGAGTAATTAACAAAACTTTTGTACCATTATTGTTAATTACTCCTTAAATTATTTTTATGTACATACACGTAATAAAAAAACACTTACATTAAATAGAAATCGTATATTTTTTAGTCACTAAAATTGAGGATACATTTTACAAACCCATGTAAACCCAATTCCGCAAATCCGCCGATATGATTACCCATACAATTTTGCTATCGTTTTTGGTGTTCGGATAATGAATGAATAAAAAGTTTATGAACTTATAAAATTAGTGACCAAGGAAAATCAGATGTCGGGCTTTCAATTTTATTATTTATTATTTACCGGACTTAGTCCTGATCAGAGACGTATGATAAGTTAATTATGTCGCCAGTCAGGGCTGAGCCTGTTAAATAGTAAATAATAAGCTTGAATACCCGAAGTCTAGTTTTCCAGCGTCACTCAAATATGAACTGGGCAACAAAGATTTTTTTTTTTCATTGTATCATTATTTACGATCGATAAAATGTCAACCTTTTTAGGCGGCTTTTTGGTAATTGCGTCAAAGCATATTACTTATTACGATAGTGATTTCAAATCTCGAACTATACACTTGAAACATAAAACGTCAATGAGAGGGTAATTTATGTAAATAATTTTGGACAATATATAGCGTTTCCATAGAAAAGGCACTGATTTTATTGTATCATATCTGTTAGGGTTGCTGCCGTAGATGACGACGGATCTAGGTATTTGCTAGGTGATATCTTTGGAACACTTTATCTGCTTATAATCCCTGATATTGGTGACTTATATACGCATACCCTGGGAAAGGTTATTATTATTATAATTATGTGGTTTTATTATTAAATTATGAATGAGTGTTAACCTTATCGCAATTTTTATATCAGATCTCAGTGCCACAATGTCTCCTGTATCTTGATCATAGCTATGTTTTTGTTGGGTCACATTTCGGCGATTCACAATTAATTAGGTTGCGTCAAACACCGAATGAACAGGGCGTCTTATTAGATGTACTTGACACATTCATTAATTTATCACCCATAGTAGATTTTTGTGTAGTAAATCTGGAGAGACAAGGACAGGTTTGCATCATCCACATAAGCAATTTTCTGTAATATGGCATAAATTGATTGGTTACCTCAAAACAGGGGCATATCATTACATGCTCTGGTGGCACTAAAGATGGCTCTTTACGAATCATTCGTAATGGTGTGGGAATTACTGAACAAGCGGTAATGGAAATGCCTGGCATTACAGGGGTATGGTCTTTACGTCCATATTACGATTCTCCGTAAGTGTTACTTGTATCGTTGTATCATTGCATCAACGTGATGAAAAGATATAAAAATTGAAGAATTCATTTCACAGTTGTGATGACACTTTGGTAATATCACTCATTGGCGAAACACGGGTGCTAAGATTAGAGGAAGGAGAAGAGTTGCAAGAGGTTGATGAATATGCTGGCTTTGACATGAGTCAATCAACTATTGCAACACGAAATGTCGTAGGGAATTTACTTGTACAAGTAAGAACATGATGCAAATTGTTTTTTTTAAATAAATTTTCAATAGAGCGTAAGTTATACTTGCACTATAGGTTACTCAATATCAAGTGAGACTCATCGATTTAGAAAACCGAAGACTGATTTCTCAATGGGACCCTCCGCATAATAGTAAGATCACTGTTGCTGATATTAATCCCAGTCAAGTTGTGATAGCGATTAGTGGTGGAACGTTGATCTATTTTCATGTGCAAGGAATAGAACTCGTTGAAGTAAAGTAAGTCTATATCAAATTTATTCACGCATCTGTTACAAAATTAATTATACTCTCAAATTAAATATTACGTAGACATAGAAAATTGCAATATGAAATAGCATGCATGAGCATCAATCCACTAGATCCTATACACCCAGAAAGTTCATCAATTGTCGCCGTAGGACTTTGGACAGTGGTTGGCGTGCAAGTATTAAGATTACCATCATTAGAGATAATAGCCGATCAACCACTTGAAGGTGTTTCCATGACCCGTTCTGTGCTCTTGTCCACGTTCGAAAACAATCATTACCTTTTGGCGGCGTTAGGTGATGGGCAACTGTTCCATTTTATCCTTGATCCAACAACTGGTCGATTATCAGAGAGAAAACAGCTATCACTTGGAACTCAGCCCGTTATGCTCACTTCTTTTACTTCTAATGGATTGAGTCATGTTTTTGCTGCGTCAGATAGACCAACAGTTATTTACAGCAGTAATAAAAAATTGCTATATTCTAATGTCAACACAAAGGTATTTACTTATTTAAAGGCTGATATATTTCACGGAAGTGTAATAATATAAACACCAATACTTTGGTTTTCTTTTAATAGGATGTTACATATATGTGTCCGTTCAAGCCGGCATCTATGGCGACTTCCTTGGTAATCACACATGAAGGAGGATTGACAATAGGCAGTATTGATGAGATACAAAAACTTCACATTCGAACAATACTATTAAATGAAATGCCCCGTCGTATATGCCACCAAGAAAGCACGCATACACTTGGAATATTAACTATAAGGCTTAATTTGAATGATGACGAAGAGAATTTAAGGTATTTCAAAATATTAGACGATCAGACGTTTGAATGTAAGTTAAATAAATTGTTTTTAACTAGTTTGGTTGATAACAGCTGCATTTTATTTTATTTTTACCGCTTAATCAATTTTATTTCTTGATATTAGTTTACGACTCATTTGAAATGCAACCCAATGAAGATGTTCATTCCTTGACTTCAATAAAATTCGATATGAAAGAAGATTCTCCCGAATACTATGTAGTTGGAACTTCATTTACTATTCAAGGGGAAACTAATGCTAGTAAAGGTCGAATATTAGTTTTCCAAGTAGAAAGAAACGAATTTGTCTGCAAATTACGGTTGATTCTCCAGAAAGAAATGAGAGGTGCAATATATTCATGCGGGCCGTTTGATGGAAAGTTATTAGCCTCCATTAATGGAACGGTATTATCAATTATATACTAGTATAATGTTTACCGTAAATTCTCGAAATAGGCCCAGGGGTAAAATTACGAAATTTGGCCTAAATTTGGTTTGCCCGCTATTTGAGAATTTACAGTAATGCGAATTCTCTTGATATACATTTCGTTAACTTCTTAATTATAGGTTACAGTTTTCGAATGGAAAGCTTCTGAAGATGGAAGTGCAGAATTAATACCTCTTTGTTGTAATAAAGATTTTTCATTGGCACTTCGTGTTGTCTCCCGAGGACATTTCGTTTTAGTTGGCGATCTTTTTAGATCTATTAGTCTGTTAGCATACAAAGAATCAGATAAAGACAACAAATCTCTCGAAGTGATCGCTAAAGATAATAACCCTCATTGGATTTCTTCTGTCGAAGCTTTTGATGATGATGAATTTATTGCCAGTGATACAAATTATGATCTAATCACATTTCGAAAAAATGATGATACAGCAGATGAAGATGAGAGGAGGAAGTTGGAAACAAATGGATTCTTTCACCTGGGCGATTCAGTTAATCAAATACGTCATGGTTAAATAAACATATTTTGTCTGTCATTGAAATATTGACACAATGATAATTAATTAACCGATTTTCACAACTTTCAGGTTCTTTGGCGATGAATGTTTCAGAAACAGAGCCAGTAGGAATTTCTTCAGAATTGTTATACTGTACATCATCTGGAGCTATTGGCGTTATCGCATCAATACCAGAACAAAAGTTTAAATTTTTGAAAAAATTAGAAGAAAGCATAGATAAAGTTATCGGCAGTATTGGTGATTTAAGTCACAAAGAGTGCGTTTATTCATTTATCTTTATTATTAAAAGAAATTGTCATAACTCATTAAATATATTCGGTTTAGATGGCGCAGTATAAAAAAAGGGAATAAGCTTTACGAGGCTCGAGGATTTATCGATGGCGATCTTATTGAATCTTTCCTTGACAGGTCCCGAAGTGAAATGGTACAAATTGCTGAAGAATGCGAGATGAAAGTAGATGAGCTATTAAAAATAGTTGAAGAGTTAACGAGAATTCATTAATCACCGCGTATAATAGTTAACCATTGTAATATTTTCAGCATATAGCATTTTATATAAAATATGATATTGTAATTGGTAACATTTTTAAGAATTCTTTTGCATAAATAAAACTAATTTTTTTTTTTTTACTCTTAAGATTTGATCAAATACTACTGGACCTGTCATTTTTGCAATACTATTGTGCAGTGTAATATAAATTGCTCTTTTGAATTTCTTTTTGTGAACTATATATGAAAGTCCTCATCCAGATGACGCCCGGCCTGAGTTAGGGATAAAAATTACATTATTGCCATTTGATGCTGGTCATCTGATGCAATCTGAGGCAATCTGAGGCACAAAATATGTAACTGTATTCACTCACTGTATCAGACGCACGATTTGTCACGCAGATCATGTGTGCAAAATTTTTTACTATGGGGTCAAATGATCGACGCACCTAAATT